ATCTCTTTCAATATTTTCTTTTTCTTTTCATTTCCAATGCAACCAAAATTATATACATAGCTCTCATTATATTTTCCTTTTTTCTTCTTTTTTTTTTCCTCGGCTATTATATTTCCTTTTCTAGCTAAGTCTTCTTATCATGTTGTTGATTTTGCCCTCTCTCCCCTCCCCTATGTACCTTTGCTAGCCAGATTTCCAGCTAGCCCTTAAAACTATTTTGTGGTAGCTCATGTACCGTTTGTGCTCGCTCCTTCCTGTTAGTATATATGACCCCTTTAGAGCGCAGTGGATGCTAGACAGGTCATGTTTTTTTCCTCCTCCTCCTTTCTAAATATTATGGTCTTGACTCTGAGAGTACCAATGTCTTGCATCTGGAGTATAATAATAACACTATGCGGCACTATGTATCTGTGACATAGATTTTGATAAACAATGTACATAAAGCTCTTGTAGGGAGCTAAACCCACTGCCCACACTCTGGCTCTCCGTAATGAGAAATCCCCTTTTCCTTCGCCCACATGATACGGGTTTTACATTCCGCAGGCTTTTTACAGACTGTGTTTCCCGACAAGCATGACGAGGGATTCACAGTCTTATAGAGATATATTTTCTCTAGATTATTACTGATAGCTGTTGGATAATCATTGTGTATTATGGTGATTCAGGTGGTGGTGATTGTTGTTAGTGTAACAGAGATTTTTTTATATATGTATTTTTTTTTTATTATTATTATTATTATTTATGGACCCCAGACAGTTACAGAAGCATGAATAAACTCCACATGACCTGTTTCAAAACCAGGCAAAACTGAGATCATTTCCTGACAGTCTTTGAGCACTGTGCATTATTTGTGAATATAAAGTCTGTATTGTATATTAAGGACACGACAATGGCTTGAGAGAGAGAGAGAGAGAGAGAGAGAGAGAGAGAGAGAGAGAGAGAGAGAGAGAGAGAGAGAGAGAGAGAGAGAGAGAGAGAGAGAGAGAGAGAGAGAGAGAGAGAGAGAGAGAGAGAGAGAGAGAGAGAGAGAGAGAGAGAGAGAGAGAGAGAGAGAGAGAGAGAGAGAGAGAGAGAGAGAGAGAGAGAGAGAGAGAGAGAGAGAGAGAGAGAGAGAGAGAGAGAGAGAGAGAGAGAGAGAGAGAGAGAGAGAGAGAGAGAGAGAGAGAGAGAGAGAGAGAGAGAGAGAGAGAGAGAGAGAGAGAGAGAGAGAGAGAGAGAGAGAGAGAGAGAGAGAGAGAGAGAGAGAGAGAGAGAGAGAGAGAGAGAGAGAGAGAGAGAGAGAGAGAGAGAGAGAGAGAGAGAGAGAGAGAGAGAGAGAGAGAGAGAGAGAGAGAGAGAGAGAGAGAGAGAGAGAGAGAGAGAGAGAGAGAGAGAGAGAGAGAGAGAGAGAGAGAGAGAGAGAGAGAGAGAGAGAGAGAGAGAGAGAGAGAGAGAGAGAGAGAGAGAGAGAGAGAGAGAGAGAGAGAGAGAGAGAGAGAGAGAGAGAGAGAGAGAGAGAGAGAGAGAGAGAGAGAGAGAGAGAGAGAGAGAGAGAGAGAGAGAGAGAGAGAGAGAGAGAGAGAGAGAGAGAGAGAGAGAGAGAGAGAGAGAGAGAGAGAGAGAGAGAGAGAGAGAGAGAGAGAGAGAGAGAGAGAGAGAGAGAGAGAGAGAGAGAGAGAGAGAGAGAGAGAGAGAGAGAGAGAGAGAGAGAGAGAGAGAGAGAGAGAGAGAGAGAGAGAGAGAGAGAGAGAGAGAGAGAGAGAGAGAGAGAGAGAGAGAGAGAGAGAGAGAGAGAGAGAGAGAGAGAGAGAGAGAGAGAGAGAGAGAGAGAGAGAGAGAGAGAGAGAGAGAGAGAGAGAGAGAGAGAGAGAGAGAGAGAGAGAGAGAGAGAGAGAGAGAGAGAGAGAGAGAGAGAGAGAGAGAGAGAGAGAGAGAGAGAGAGAGAGAGAGAGAGAGAGAGAGAGAGAGAGAGAGAGAGAGAGAGAGAGAGAGAGAGAGAGAGAGAGAGAGAGAGAGAGAGAGAGAGAGAGAGAGAGAGAGAGAGAGAGAGAGAGAGAGAGAGAGAGAGAGAGAGAGAGAGAGAGAGAGAGAGAGAGAGAGAGAGAGAGAGAGAGAGAGAGAGAGAGAGAGAGAGAGAGAGAGAGAGAGAGAGAGAGAGAGAGAGAGAGAGAGAGAGAGAGAGAGAGAGAGAGAGAGAGAGAGAGAGAGAGAGAGAGAGAGAGAGAGAGAGAGAGAGAGAGAGAGAGAGAGAGAGAGAGAGAGAGAGAGAGAGAGAGAGAGAGAGAGAGAGAGAGAGAGAGAGAGAGAGAGAGAGAGAGAGAGAGAGAGAGAGAGAGAGAGAGAGAGAGAGAGAGAGAGAGAGAGAGAGAGAGAGAGAGAGAGAGAGAGAGAGAGAGAGAGAGAGAGAGAGAGAGAGAGAGAGAGAGAGAGAGAGAGAGAGAGAGAGAGAGAGAGAGAGAGAGAGAGAGAGAGAGAGAGAGAGAGAGAGAGAGAGAGAGAGAGAGAGAGAGAGAGAGAGAGAGAGAGAGAGAGAGAGAGAGAGAGAGAGAGAGAGAGAGAGAGAGAGAGAGAGAGAGAGAGAGAGAGAGAGAGAGAGAGAGAGAGAGAGAGAGAGAGAGAGAGAGAGAGAGAGAGAGAGAGAGAGAGAGAGAGAGAGAGAGAGAGAGAGAGAGAGAGAGAGAGAGAGAGAGAGAGAGAGAGAGAGAGAGAGAGAGAGAGAGAGAGAGAGAGAGAGAGAGAGAGAGAGAGAGAGAGAGAGAGAGAGAGAGAGAGAGAGAGAGAGAGAGAGAGAGAGAGAGAGAGAGAGAGAGAGAGAGAGAGAGAGAGAGAGAGAGAGAGAGAGAGAGAGAGAGAGAGAGAGAGAGAGAGAGAGAGAGAGAGAGAGAGAGAGAGAGAGAGAGAGAGAGAGAGAGAGAGACACGACAATGGCTTTACATTACTTTACCATTACTTGATCTTTGGTAATATCTGAACTAATGAAAGTGCTTTAAAACACCAGGAACATTGTCACAGCAGTCTAACTGTTGAAACCAACTCACATATATATTTCTAATCAGTTGTTTTAACCACTGATTTATCTTCTTATTCATTTCTGAATTCCTTTAATGCAATAATATATTCCTTTAAGATAACAATCTCTTCCTTTTATTCAGTAATAGACATTCTCTTTGAAGATAACAAGTCGCCTCATTTACAGTCATATGTCATCTGTTTTTATTTCCACCCACTATTGAGTTTTGTCAAGTGATAAACAGGAAATGATTTCAAAACCATAAGGCATGACACTCATATAAATGTTCCCTAATCAGCTACAACATAAAGTGGCCCAGTACCCACAGGTGCCAATACCTCAAGTACAAGGATGTATTGTTACTGTTTTGTTTGCCTGAGGAAGTCAAGCAGTGATATATTGTGAATTAGAAGTTCATCCTTTTTCATTTTTGATGTAAAGTACTCAACCTTTTTTTTTTATTATTGTTTTTTTTTTTTCTTTAAGTACTCATGTCCAACCTTTTTTTTTTTGTGATGTCATGTTTGGAGGAGTTAATGTGTTGTAGTGTTGCCACTGACTGGATCGTTTAAAAGTTAGTAACTTTCTAAACACTTTCATTCTGACTAACTGTAGAAGGTTTTCCTTTGATCATACATCGTTTTGTCATCTAATATGTTCAGTAATATCAGTCCACTGCTCATTGCTGTGAAGCATATTGACCTAATTTCAAATGATCATCTATGTTTTTCCAAAATAAGTAATGCTTTAATAATTCTTTACATAAAATGCACATGATAATTGTGTGTTTATTCTAGTTCACATTTCTGAAGCCATATTGAAGAGTGAGATGTGCTATTTATTATATTTTACTTAGAAATAATGTGCACATTATGAAGGGCTTCTAAGAGAGAGAGAGTGAGTGAGTGAGTGAGTGAGTGAGGGAGGGAGGGAGGGAACGAGTGAGGGATGGAAGGAAGGAGGAGGAGAGAGAGAGAGAGAGAGAGAGAGAGAGAGAGAGAGAGAGAGAGAGAGAGAGAGAGAGAGAGAGAGAGAGAGAGAGAGAGAGAGAAAGTGTGTGAGAATGTGTGTGATAGAGGAAAGAGAGAGTGTGTGAGTGAGGAGAGAGAGAGAGAGAGAGAGTGAATGAGTGAGTGAGGGAGGGAGTGAGTGTGTGAGTGTGTGAGTGAGTGTGTGTGTGAGTGTGTGTGTATGTGTGTGTGTGTGTGTGTGTGTGTGTGTGTGTGTGTGTGTGTGTGTGTGTGTGTGTGTGTGAGAGAGAGAGAGAGAGAGAGAGAGAGAGAGAGAGAGAGAGAGAGAGAGAGAGAGAGAGAGAGAGAGAGAGAGAGAAAGAGAGAGAAAGAAAGAAAACAATATGCATTCAGAGATGTACAGCCAAATGTTTATGTGCTGAAGTTCCTCCTAGGACATTAATACTTTTTGAAGATCCTAACAGTAAGAGGTAACAGCATGTCCACTTGTTTTTGCCAATTTGATGAATTACTTAAAAAGTAGCGTTTTCAAATTTGACACAATCACTGACTGCTAATGAACAGATGTTTGTCATGTGATATGTCACACAGGGAATTCACATGTATCATGGTATCAAGTTGAGTTTTGTGACTCAAGTTTTTGACTAAGATATTGCTAGATATTTCTCAGGCATACAATCTTAGCAAATTGGGGATAAGTGCTTGGAATTATTAACTGATTTTTGAATTATTATTTATTGTAAATATTATTTAGGTAATGATACTTTTATTATTTGATTTGATTCTTAAATGATCATTAGTCAGTTATACTCATCAGTGCTTTTTGATACATATATCAGTATTAGTTTTCAAATGTGTTTGGGCAAAGCCAAATTTATGATTTTTATTTTTATTTTCTTTCTTCAGAATAATAGAGTCATTCAAAATATTTTCCCACTTGATATTTTTGCTCACAGTTTAATAGACATTAGTTAGGCACCGATCCGACAGACGCAACTCGATACTCTGTCTAATCCCTGCGACGGATGTTATCATTTCAGGAACACGAGATCAAGCAGTGTGGAGGAGCTGGCTCTCTCACCCTTCCATCAGCGGCCATGTTAACACTGCTGGTGCTGGCACATGTGTGTAATACCCTCAAGCTCCACTCGTGATAGTTGTGTTGACTACAGTAGCAAAGGCATGTGGAGGAAAACAAAATCAATGGTGTTATGTCGAAGTAGTGTTTCATTTGCTTCGTTTAGTATTAAATATATTGGTCTACATTGTGATCTAGGGAAGGGGAGAGAATTTTTTGTGTATTGAGAGCTTTTTTTAACTAGTTGTGCAAGGATGAGTATTTGAGAGGTTGAACTCTGAATATGAATAAATCTGTTATAAGACCTACTTAATACTCTCTTTATATAGGGGACATTTCCTCTTTCTCGTGTGTACATACTGTGTGATTTTCTTATGGATATACCAGAAGGTGCAGTCTGTCAGGAAACAACACTCCTATCTTATAATAGCCAGAGTCTGAAAAGTTTGTTTCTGAACATAGCAGACTGAATGTTAAGAGATAAGGGCTTCGTTCAACCAAAATATATCCTAGAGTTTTTAGAATATTCTTCACCAGCGATCAAGTGCATCCATGACAAGAAGAGAAAGCAGAAAATGGCAAGGCAAGATACTGCAGTTGTTCCAGGGAAATCTCAATTGGCTCTTCCCACATGGATGAGAACCCCTATTTTGAACTGCTTAAGTGACCCAGTCCAGTGTTGACTTGTAAAGAAGAGACAATACAGTTTTTTTTCTCTCTCTCTCACTCTGGGAGTGTATAAGAATGCTCCTCTTTTCCAGGCATGACACCCCTAACCCACCTTTAGCATAAGGTTTAAAATTCTTCAGTCTTACCTTGTGCTGCTGGACCTTGCGAAGAGGGTCGGTGACACACTCTTCGGCTGGAATGTTTAAGAGGAAATCCTTTTTGGAAAAAGTGTTATAAAAAAAAAAAAGACAGCAGAGTCAATACTGAATTGGGAAAACATACTCATAAGGAAAATAATGATGATGTGAGTTTTTTATCTTTGTACATATATCAAATCAGTGATGATTGGTTGGTTTGTGTAATCATTGTGTTTCTATGGACAATACTAAAATATCAATGCTCCTATATTACTAAGATAAATAAGAACCTCATTACGTTCTAAACCCTCACTTTATTTTAGTCACTGTATTTTTCTCATTATTTTTGACACCTGATTCATGTTTTATATAGTACCAAAAAAGGTCTTTTTTGCTAATATCAAATCTTATGAAAAGTAATATTACAAACTTCAATGAGGTATTCAAATGGAGAGTACTATATTTATTAAAAAATAAACTTATATGTAGCGTAGATCTATCAGATAATTTTACTAGACATTTTGGCTCATAGATAAATAGTAATCTTCATTTTTTACAAGATGAGTTCATGCCATTTTATGTTTTGTGATTAGAGTTTAGGAATTTTTACCGATAGGAAATCGTAGCGAGATTCCCAGGTGAAGAATATTTACCAAAAATAAGAATCCATATCAAGGGAGTGGCATATCACTCGGGTAATTTACACTTGTTATACTTTATACTTTTTATTCTTACCTCAAGAAGGTAATATCAACTCAATTGTGATGTTTATTCTTTATTGTTATTAGTGGTTTAATATTTTTTCTTTGATCCAAGACATATAAATATATATATAGATATATACAACAGTATTAGGGGCTTGATGCCTCAGCTGTGATGACGTGTAATTTCTGCTACAGTAGGATGGTCTTGTTATCGCTTGAATAGCAGTACAGTGTCTTTAGGGATGTTTGTACAGCTGATTTTATGGCCCCGGAAAATAAGAAACAAAAAGTTTTAGAGATTAAGACATGACTCTTAAATCTTTTAGATGAATTTTTAAAATTTCAATAAAGTTAAGCTGAAGGGTAATATAATTACAATTACAGAATTGGAGAGGGAGTGAAAAAAGAAAAAAAAAGAAAAGTGTGGGAGGAAATTAGTATGCTAAATTATTTAAACATTATCATAATGAGATCTGGCACAAGAACTCAAAAAAAAACCTTGTTACCTAACATAGATTAATACGTTAGTTTATCAGCTCTTCTAACAGTCCCTGAAGATGGTGTCTTGCTACCATCTCTTAGTTTTCAAAGAGGCATTGGCATGACAAAGTTTTGTTTAGAATTAGCAAACATTTGGTATCACATTTATTACACTTAAAAGGAAGATACTATTAGATTGAAGGTTAATAATTTTCAGATATGTAAATATTCATCATGATGTGCTATACATGTACTGTTGTAGTCGCATGGTAAACTGGAGTCCATAATTCGAAACTAGAAGATATTTAAGGATATTTAAAAAAAAAAAAAAGAATCAAGATGGTTTTATTCCATGTGGATAATTACATACTCTTAGTAACCCATTGTACATGTAAATTACTGTACGGTATTGTTTTTCTGATCTTATAACTTGTACTTGTTGTCAAGTTTCTACTGGATGATAGCCCGGTTGCTGGAGAATTGCATATACATATTCAGCAAGAAGAGTAACGGACTTCACACTGCGTCATCTTAAAACCAGTCACAGGCAGCTCAGACTCCTGGTTTGGTCAATCCACGTTCATGCTCACCTACGAGAACTTGAATGCCGTTATTCTTCCCATAGAGATATGTTATGCTCTTTTCTCTACCTGTTGTGGATTGCAGATAAATGTAGTTGCGTTATGAGAGAAAATTATTCAGTTATTATGTTCATCGGGTGAATGATCCGATGTGAAATTAGGGCAAATAATTCAAGCTTCGCTGCAGTTTTATGTCAAATGGCCATTAGAGATTAAAAAAAAAATTTGAAGTTCGTCAAGGTGAAAGGCGGCATTTTAACTGGTAATCATAAACATTCATGAAGTATTTTGCTTATAATCTGCAGCCAAGTGTCTTTCAATTGATAATGTGTACATGCTGTAGCAGTTTATTGATGTGCATACTTCTGTGTATGATTATATGGCATAACGATAGTCCTTTGTTGAGCATATTGTGCATGTATTCTTAGTACATATATTGTTTTCATGGTGCACATATTTGATCCTACTGTTTCCTGTTTGTTGTTATTTTCTAGTTAGTATATATTGTGCATCTCCACTTTCACTTGATCATAACTTACCCATTTAATTACAGGATGCACATTGGAAAAATTGTTAGAGTTATGTCCACTCTCAGTTAACCGCAGTGTATGTACCGCAACCTGATTAGTACATACTTTTATTATTTGTCCTGTTTCGACATATTTAAATGTATACCTGCTGTTTCTTTTTAAGGATTTTGTGTCACAATAGCGACCATATTTCTGGCTGCCAGGTGATAATGCAGGTGTAGATATAATCATTTATATATTATCATTTGTAGACCATAGGTGAAAATTGTCAACTACGGGCTTGTGTGCACTGTAAACTTCTTGAATCTTTGTTCTTGTGGTATTTCTCCCGTGGATTTTCTTTCTCATCTCTTTCATGTGGGTTCCTTCTCTATAAACTGCATAATATGGAAATGATCCCTGTAGGTAATTGATGAGTAGTGGAGAAATTTTGCTAATACAGAAATTACTGATGCTTTATATAGAACTGTGTATGTCTCCACTTTTAGCGAGGAACTTTGCCTTCCGGCCAAGTTTCCGCGTCTGAAGTTGGCAATCAGTTATAATACTGTGAGGAAATTAGGAAGATTTAGTAAACCAAGGAATGTTTAGAATACCTTCCATGCAATTATTTCATGGTACCATACTTCAGAATTTATTTATATAGGGAAATGCTACCTTGTATTATGACAGAATCCCTGCATTGTAATTCATTTCATAATGGGCAATTTTAGGTACTATATCAGTTAAGGGCCAAGTTAAGAAGGGCGAGAGGTCTCCCAGACTGTGGACCAACCAGCACCCCGCACCAATTAGAGTCTTGTCCTCAACCCACCAGGAACTCACACCAACCACGTCTTGCAGACCTATATATCATTACCTTTTTATAGAAAGCATTCCAGGCATGTTTGTTCTGCTGTCACTGTTTTGGAATGCAGCTAAAGCATTGGGGCTTTGATTCAGGTTTGGAGAAGATGGCTAATCTTTCATAACACTATGATTGAATAAAACACACACACACACACACACACACACACACACACACACACACACACACACACACACACACACACACACACACACACACACACACACACACACACATTCTCTATCTGAATCAATCCCTGTTCCGTCACTAAAGAAAAAAGTTCCTCAAAACAACAGAGTGTGCTTTAACTCTCTTGGTCATATCTTGTATTGGAAAGCTCTTGTATGACATCTATACTTTCCAACTAAGGCTTTTAAAAGCTGGTGCTTTAAGAGGTTATCAGGACAAGTTATTTTTTTGTCATTGATTTTCCTCGACAATATTCCTCAGGCTGTGTGTTTGGGCCTTACCCAGAAGCACACAGAAGGGGGATGGTAAGTCATCATGTTCAGCGACGAACTCTTCAAGAATCAAGTTTTGAACACCTTACAGTATCAAGTAGTATTTAAAAAGGATTTATTGGGAAAAAATTTTAAATTATGCTTATGAATGAACTAGGACTGAAAAAGTGAATGGATTATAATCCTTTAGATTTGTCTTGAGAAAAGCAGGTAAACCTAATGATTGTTTCATATTTGTTAGATGTTTTCTCACCATTCTTAAATTGAATGTAAAGGAATTACCATCCCTCATTAGTCATGCATTGTCCATATAGTGGCCGTAGCCAGAAAGATTCATGTGAGATGACTGTCCAAAAGTAATGTAAAGATATATTTTTGAAGAAGATACTAGTGTAAGGATAATGTAAGTTTTTATTTCACTTTTTTTCTCCAAACTGAGCACATTCGCACGACAAAAGTCCACTAATTAACAAAGCACTAAATCTGAACTAATCCTTGAAGCAAATGCACCGATCCTCTCCAGGTCTGTATAGATCATCCTGCACGAGTCAGCTCCGAGTTCGTAGAGAGAGCACACACCCCAAGACGGTGCCGAGGAAGCATCCGTCACACATCAAGTGAGGGGAGACCTTTCGCCCTGGGGTCATTAGTGAGGGGAAGCTGATGACCTGTATCCGCGGGTCAGCTTAGGTCAGGTACAGGAGAACCACCTGCTCAACTCCATCAGAAATTTTTGAAATACTATGTGATGAAACGCCATTTCAATGGATTTTTTAGGTCATTCGCAAATAATGTAACCTGCATAATAAACTTTAAAAAAAGAATCTCAGAGCAATGATATTTTTTCAAAGACAAACTTCTAGCTCCTGGTTTCTGAAGCAGGGATGAATAATGATTTTTTTTTGTTTTGTTTTTTAACCAAATGTTTAATAATGCTTTGGGGGCAGTGAGTCAAATGGTTCAGTGGGCCTGATCTCTGACCCGTAGCCGGGAGAACAGTGACCTGAACGTCTTGCTGTTGTCTGACCAGCGCTGCCTGAGGTAAGCTCAGCGGGAATGTAGGAGTAGAGTGGAGTCTTGTAGGTCAATATTACTTGCCTTGCAGGTCACGCACACCTGTGTCCACCCATGTAGCTCTCTTGCAAGGTCATTGGCTTGTCTTTCATCAGCCTTTGACTCTTTTTTTTTTTCTCTTTTTTTGGCAGTCAAACAGGCAAGATGTTGATAATATATAGATCATAGATAATGCGTCCCGTGTTAATGTCGTAATTACTACCACAGAAGTATACTATATATGCTGTGACTGTAATGATCTTATAGTTACTCAGCTTTCATGATGTAGTCACTTCCCACCTACAGATTGTGTCATGTTGATTCATAAAGAAATACAAGTACTGAAGGTTTCCCTTTGAGAATGTGTTTTAGAAACAAGTCTCCACAAAAGAGATGAATTTTAGCATCATCGAGATCAAATAAATTCAATATGATAGAAAGGCCATAGACAGAGCCGGCTGGTCGAAGCACTTGGCTACTCAAGACGCGTGATATTAACCCTCAATACTCGACTTTCAGCATTAACTGTATAGAGCGGGCATCCAAGTGAGTAGGTCACACTATAAACATTGTGTAGCTATTTTTCACAAGTGCGACATCAAGTATAACAAAGAGGAGTCTTTTTGTGGGAATGGCTGCAATCTGTTGAAGACAGAAGAGGAAGAAATATAAAAAATTCGATTTCACTTTCATAGAGCGGATCTAAAAAGCCTCCACACACTGTGAGGTTGTTTTTGGTGAAGACAATATGGATAACAATCGCTTCATTCTTTTATGTCCGCGGAGGTTGCCGAATACAACCAAGAGGTCTGTACGCCCAAGGGATGTATTATGAAAGTCTTTCCGGCCATAAAAAGTGTTTTGAGCAGTTTGCACATTTTAGCCAACAAAAATGCGCCTTAGGTCAGGTAGTCACAATTCCCAGGCGGTGCTCGATAGTAACCTTCTCTTCTTTGACTATCTCGGCCGAGTTGGATACAAGGAACACAGTCTTTTCATTCTCAATTCATCTCCATTTGTTCATGGATGAATCAGGGGGTGGGATCAGGTAGAAAAATATAAAAATATATATATATACATATATGATAACCAAATACAGTAAAAAAAATAAAAAATAAAAAAGAAATGAACTCATTGCTTAAAAAAAGTGTAACCAATGTGTATTAAGTGTTCATCTGTTTCTCATTAAGATGGAGATGTGTGGTTTTGTATAACCGACCTTTCTAATTCCAGTAAATGACTTTTTGTGTCCTGGAAATGAGTGTTCCTGTTGTTCCAGTACCGGCGTGGCTTTGAATTGTCCCGGCTTCTCTTGTTTGTCGATGTTGCCTCGGTGTCTGAGTGCTCTGTTTATGTTCGCCATTTTCAATTTCATTTTCTATTGAACTCCTCCGCCTCCGACCTCCCACTCCCACTCCCTCCATTTGCAAGAACTACAGACACGTACACTCACGATAACTATTTTATTTTGTGTTGAATGCTTCTGTTTACATGTGCGAAATTATATATATATATATAATCTCAAAAACTCTTTGTCTTCCAAGCACATGATAACACGTCATTACTTCCCACACCTTACACTGAAGACAGCGTATCCAGAACCCAGAATTGAACTTCAAAGGAGTGTTTCTATGGAGTCATCAACAAATATTTTTTACAAATTACGAGCCACTAATCGTGTCTTAAAACCATTTTGATATTTTGATAATGCACCGAGGGAGAGCTAGATCATTAGTTAACAAACTAAGATGAAAGGACCCAGTGAATCCTCATGGTCATTGTTTTAAAGATTGAAATTAGTAATGATAATGCCAGTCATTAAATAAAGGGTACTCATCATTTAAGAGTCAATTTTTCAAAAAAATAATGATAATAATCGGCCATGTTTACTAAATCCATCCACGAGGAAAATATATTTCACTGGCATCCTTTCAGAACAAAAGAATTAAAAAAAAAGCGAGAGAGAGAAAAAAGTCCCCGCATTTCATTCACCCCCCCACACCCCACCCACCACCACCCACCCACACCCCTTTTTTTTGTGCGTGTATAAAAGTCCGTAAGTTGATGACGCCACAACACCCAAGCACCACCTGCCCACAACACACTCCCCCACACACACGCCCACACCCACACACGCCCTCAGAGCACTCTATCACCGACCCCGGCATGGCTTCGTAGCTGAACTTTCAGGTGACATGTTCTTCTAACCTCCCTGCGTAACGGTTTCTTCCATGCGACGCCTTCACTCCTCACGAGAGTTTATTTGTATCTTGAGGACACAATAAAATGTTAATTGTCTCTGTCGGGTTTGATTTCTTGGAAAGTGCTGAGCAACCTTCCCCCCCTTTAAGTCCGTATGTACGTGTGTGTGTGTGTGTGTGTGTGTGTGTGTGTGTGTGTGTGTGTGTGTGTGTGTGTGTGTGTGTGTGTGTGTGTGTGTATGTGTGTGTGTGTGTGTGTGTGTGTGTGTGTGTGTGTGTGTGTGTGTGTGTGTGTGTGTGTCTTTCTCTCTCTTTCTCTTTCTCTCTCTTTCTCTTTCTCTCTCTCTCTTTCTCTCTCTCTCTCTCTCTCTCTCTCTCTCTCTCTCTCTATATATATATATATATATATATATATATATATATATATATATATACATATTTATATATATATGTATATTATATATTTATTTATTATATATAATATATATATGATATATATATATAATATATATATATATATATATATATGTATATATATATATATATATATACATACATACACACTTTTTTTAAGAACTGTAGTTGATGTTTTCAGTGCATCTGTGTGCCAGTGAGGCAGTAGGAGAACGATTTATACAATTGTGATATATATATATATATATATATATATATATATATATATAGAGAGAGAGAGAGAGAGAGAGAGAGAGAGAGAGAGAGAGAGAGAGAGAGAGAGAAGAGTTTAAGAATACGTGATAGAAATATTATCAATGTTTGTAAGACATCAGAATATCACTAGGTACCGTGACTCTACAAAATGAAACAAATATCATAGTAGTTAACCTTACATAACAGTACCTTTCTAATTCCGTTTAGCTGCATTATATGTAAGTTACACATCAAGGTTTAAGGAATATGAAACAATTTCTAAGTGCAAAGAATATAAGTCTTCACTTTACCAGTAAGCATCAGTGCAGACAATGACAATATACATCAAGGCAGATTTTTATATTTAAAAGGAGAAAAACCCCGGAACATACCGTACTTTCCAATCCTGTATTGAGAACATGAATGATTATATGAGAATTATGAAATAGAAGGATGTTTATGAATTTAGGAATATTTACACTGACATTATTTTAAAATCTAGTTTGAATTGACTGAGACTCGCGAAGACGAGACACCGATGAAATTATTTCCTCGGGGTCATTTTCATCCTCACTGTCTCGTGGACGACTCCCTTCTGCAGACTGTTCCTGGAGGATCTCTGAATGACCATTTCCCCGAACGACTAACGTTGTATCAGGTGCCTGTTGAATGTGCCTTTGGTGTTCTGTCCTATGAACCTCTGCGATGTCGACTTCTTTAACAGATTCTCTCGGAGACCCAGTTGACGAAGTGTTGCTACCCTGATCACTCGCACTGTCTCGAGACGCCGTGGCCTCAGTTGCGTCATCACGCTGGGTCTCTTCGACGACCGTGGACGAAGGAACCTCGGTCTGGAAATTAGGACTCGGTTTTGAAGTCTTTAAGGGAGAAAAGACAAATCGTCAACCAAAGCGCCTCCATAACATGAATACACAAACAAATCAGTTCATAGATATGTAAATAGATAGATGTGTAGATGGGTAGATAGACAGAGATATAAACAGACATACTGAGGTACGTAATACATAAACTGTGAGTTAAATAACAAATTAATTAACAAATGAGTACAGATACATAAAACCAGAAAGTACCAAATAAACATAAAAATATGTAAACAAACTGATAAACGCACCTAAACAAATAACTAAACAATTAAATCCTTAGGCACACAAACACATCAAAAGAGGCACAGGAAAGCAAAGCAAAATGATAATAATATAGATCTATTTATGTTGACAAATGTAGAAAAGATATGAATGAGAGGGAATATCTTCACAATACAAGAAATGTATTTAACCCGCTTCGATTATATCTTCGACAGCAATACATATATTTCTGACGTAGATATTATCGAAACCGGTCAAATACATTTCTTGTACTGTGGAGATATCCATTCTCATTCATACCTTTTATACAACATATATCGAATTCATACCATAGCAAGAGCATCCTGGTAAGACGGTAGATTGCCCACCACCTCATCATAAACTGGAGGAGAGTCCTCGGAAACGGTCTGAGACTGGAAAATACAATTTTTTTTTTTTAGAGAACAGTTTTTATACTATGAATGCAACAATACCAGGGCCTATTTTGATTAAATCACCATGGGTATTATTGTGCTTGCGTTCAGTACTTCATGTTAAGAGCGACGTGATGCGACGGTCCAATTAGCATGCATCATCCTCACTGCTGGTTACACCTAACACGAAAATATGGGGCAACTCTGTATAATCCCCCCTCTGTCAGTCTCTTCACAATTACGGGTTGTACATTGGTTCCTCGTGAGCATCCGTGTACCTTTTGATCCCATGGTAGGATCTCAGAGCAGCAAGAGACCCTTCGAGTACAAAGACATCTCCTACCGGCGTGTAGAGAAGCACTGGTTTTGTATCCATTTCTGCACCCCATTTCCCTTTAACTACGGTACTTTCCTGGTATTCAGCTGTGATCGACCTAAAAACGACATGTCTGTTGGCTTCATGGTTTGAGAGCTGATACTAGTACTAAGAACAGTCTTATTCTTGTAAGATAACCAGCACTTAGAATTAAAGTCCTGGCCTACATTGTTGGACCTGGTAATATAATGCAGGAAGAGCAGCCTAGATCGACCACATCCTTGTTAGCACTTGTTGGCAAACTCTCTAAAACTACAAGGTTTTCAGACCGCAAAGTTCTGTGGTACCAATCGCATCCTTCTAGCAAGCATCTATATGTTTATTATAGGGAAAGACTATAAGAGTGTACTCAGAGATTTACCATAGTTTTCCCTGACACACAATGTTCAACACCCTGACCCTGTAATGCTGACTGGCGTCCTTAAGCACAAAATTCCCGATTCACAGCAAGATCGGGTGGTTGGCCGATAACAAGGCAGAACTTTATTTGACTGGAAAAACTAGAGATCTGAGACGTGTATCATAGAGCTCGACTAGCCTAAGACTTAAAAACCGCCTTGATCCATTGTGTGTATGACTTGGGCGCTGCTGAGGAAGGATAAGGAAAAGTCATTCCTAGTAAATGGTCTTTGCTCTTCCTACAGAACCCTGAGAAACGATGCAAACACTCCCTACATGTGACTGCAGTACATTTATCTGATGCCCTGATCATGATGGGGCGGGTGTGTACTGGACAGAGTAATATGACCAGATTTAAATATCATTAGTCGTGGTCCGAGTCCTAGATCCCCCATCGCAAGGAACCTCTTCCCCTCAAGTCTGGAAGTTCATCTCCAAGCTGGAGGGTGGAGAGGCAGCACGTCTTTGCGGCATCCTAATAGTATACTTGTAGTCACTGCTCTGTAGTGCTAACTCTGATCCTCCTGAGATATGTGTGAGACCATCTGCCGAGGCCAGAGGAACACAGGTTCATTTTTGGCTAAAGCAAGAAACCATATTCTTGCTTTCAAGTCATGGTAGACCACAGTCGTGAACATGGTCGAGGGCTACATGTAGTCAAGGGCGTCATTTCATCATTTTCTTGGAGAGCTATGAAGGTATAATTTATGCCAAAAAAAAAAATCGAGCGAGTATAGCTCTTGGGGGGTGGGGAGCAAGCCAGAGCCCCCCTTCCCCCAAATGACAACCCAGCATGTAGTCTAAAATCGACACCAAGAAGTTGTTCGACCCAGAGCCCCCCCCCCCCCCAAAAAAAAAAAAAAAAAAAAAAAAAAAAAAAAAAATCGACTAATCCTGTTGTTCGGGATTTTCTAGGCTGCGTAGGGGCAGCGAAGCGTGGGTTGGACAGTGAGTGGCTCGCTCCTTGGTGTCGGATCCTTGTTTGGTAATGTGATTATGGTATCATTTTTATTGGTAATGTTGTTTTTACTATCACTGTTATTATAATTGTTAGCATTACTGTTATTGCTGTAGTCAATAGTAATTTTCTTATTATTATTATTATAATCATCATTATTATCATCATCATCATTATTATTATCAATATCATTATTATTATTATTATTATTATTATTATTATTATTATTATTATTGCTATCATCATTTTTATTATCAGTCGCTATCTTTTATCATTATTTCCATTATCATTATCCTCATTACTATTATCCTTATTCTCAACATTATCATCATCATCATCATCACTG